CTATGGGGACGGGAATGTTCTGTGGCCGGTCCGGTATGGTGCAATAACCACAGAGCATTTACATAGGTGTGAGGGGTTCTTAAAATTAACTTAAAATTACTGAAGACGAAGTTGAGGCCAGTGTTGTCGTCTCGACGACCTTGGGCGGCCTCTCACACACCCGCCTGCGGGTGCTGGCGGACTTACGCGACGTGTGGACGACCCGAGTGATGCCGTAGTGCAAATCTCGACGACCTTGGGCGGCCTCTCACACACCCCCCTTCGGGTGCTGGCGGACTTACGCTCCGGTTGTACGAACAAATTGATATGGAACAGAGACTTACTCAACACAGAAGAATCCACGGATCGAACGACGCAATTTACCAGCACAGGCTCCGGCTCAAGAGTAGGTACAGGCACGGATAACGGGAATGACGTAACACAGTATTTTGTATAGGTGTAATTTATTTTCCGAAAACGCAATGAACAACAACGGAAATTCGGGCCTCAGTAGCGCCGAGCAACCAGGAATGGAATGCTTGACTTTCCAACAACTGCCGTAATGGCGAGAAAAGCGAAATATAACAGAAAAAAAAGAATATAAGTATGTGCCTCAATGGCGATGACAACAACAATAATAATAATAATAATATGACCACAGGTGGTCGTAATATAGGTTAATGAATAGAATAATAACAACGATAGTGGAACACGATATGGGAAAAAAAACAAAGAGATTACACGAGGATGTTTATCGCCGTATGTCGACGGCGGCGCGATAACGGAATTTCGGTGTGGCGCGCAAACACCATGCGATATTGGACGATTGGAACAAGATATCAAAAATCGGAAGAAACCTTTCAAATTTTTCAAATTTGTCTAAAAAATATTTTTATGAAATAATATGCACTAATAACTGTAAAAAATCAACTATATGCCAAATATGACTTTACACCCAAAACATGCAAATACATGCACTATCAAACTTCATACTATTATTACTATTGTTATGAAACGGATTTGTATCACAGTTAGCATGTTTTCCTGTGTAGCAAAAAAAACATGCAGATGCATGAACTTACGAGCCCTGATTATAATATATTACATTTTACAAAATATCATTTAACATTGTCAGAATGTGCATTCCAAATACAAAAATTATAAAAAAATTATATATATAATAATTATATATTACACCGAAATTCTTCTTTCTTTTAACGATGCCATATTTGTATCATATTTGTCATTTCAATATTATCTAAAATGTCTTTCTCAGAATCAAGTATAATCAAATCATTTAATCGGGAACTGGTCATAGTAGTTCTTAAATGGTTTTTGATTAATTTTAGCTTGCTGAAACATAGTTCATTTGAAGCTGTGGTAACTGGTGATGTTAATGCCAAACGACAAAGTTCATTAGCCATAGGAATTAATTGGTTTATTTTAATTTTTTTTTTTTTTTTTGTATTTTTATATTTTATACATATTTTTGTTGTATTTGACAATGTGTTAATGTGCCGACTGAAATATATTAGGTTAAATGAGTGAGGGGTCGTGACGACCCCTTAAACCCCCCCCTCGCACCGGCCCTGCTCAATTGGTAAAAATATAATGGGGGACTGAGTGGCCGAGTGGTTTAAGGCGTCGGTTGTGACGCACACAGACTCTGTTCGAACCCGGCGGCAGACGGAATTTATCTTCGGCCAATACCTACGGGTGCCCACTAAAAAATCTGCCAAATACAACACACACGTGCTTACACAAAAACCACAGTACCACAAGCTAACAATCTCAGTAGTTGAAGCTTTAACCCCCCCCCCCCCCCCCAAAAAAAAAAAAAAGTAAAAAAAATATAATATTGAAATATTGTATACAATAGTCAATTATATATTATTTTATATTTTTTGTATTACTACAGATATAAATAATACATTTTATTTATCATATTAAAAATTTTAAAATAACACTCGTCATTTAATATATATATTGGAATAAGACAGAGTTGTTATTTGTTTATACCATTAATCTGGATGCGATCTCGACACTCGAGAGAGGATGACTATAGTTTTTACACGCTAACCTAAATATGATAGTATTTTGTTAGCCAATAAACGAGATATTATGTTGATATGTATTTTATAGGACCTCTTATATTTATAAATACATATCATTGGTTAAATATCAAAAATAAGTTTACTTCCAAATCAATTCAGACTTTAGTTTGACTAAGTACAGGGGCCTCGCTACACTGGGGCCTGGGGTGGGCAAGTGCCCCCTCAACATGTGATTTTGCCTCTCCTTTTACCCCCCCCCCCCACCCACCCTATAATTTAATGTTGAACATTTCAATCTAATCTGAAAATGCATTCTATATTGAGCATTTTATTAAATACTATAATATAGGTAATACTATCCTAATAATTTGTAATTATTTATATTCATTTAATACTTATAACTAATGGTATGTTGATATTTAGATATAATCATAATAATAAAATAAAATAAATAATGTTAACATAATAAATTTCATTTATTGATTTTTACTGTAATAGGTACTAATATGTTGCTATTTAGAATTTAGATACTTAAAAATCCCTCTTTGTGACTCTGAATTTGTTTAATTGAAATGATCATAAAATATGAATGTGCATTAGACATTTGTATGTTATAACTTATAAGTCATATAACCTTATTACAAGCTTATATAAAACATATTATAAGTACTTTAGGTTATATTTTATACCTACATTTGATTCCATTATGTTAAAAATGTGTAAGTAAATAAAGACATTTTATGAATTAGGTAATTATTTAATTATTTAGAAATATGTCATATTATACCCAAAACATTTTTAGCAATACTTTCTGATTCTGAATATATGATATAAGTAAATTAGTGGGTGATCGAGTAGCGATACATAAATGCCCCACCAGAAAAAAAATATCTGGCGCCGCCACTGACTAAGTAGGTACTATAAATTTCCGTGTAACTAAATAATGTGTTTAACAATTTTTTTTACGAGTTACAAATAAAATTAAATGTGAATAAGTATACGTTATTTTACCCGTTTCTGTCAATCAAAAAATATGTTGTCATTTTATTAATTAATTCTTTTTTGTTCCGTAAATAACACATCAAATTGTAAGGGCACTGAACATTCGTATAGGAACTAACATTCGTACTCAAAATATTATTATTTTAAACAGTTTTATTAGAGTGGTATTGAACTGCAAAATCGCAAATACTTAAAATAATAAACAGGGGTTGGGTTAAAGGGATATTGAGAAATGACGTAACACAAAAGTTATAACTCGTCGAAATCACAATTTTATATTACCAAATTTAAAATTCCGCAGTTTTGATAACCATTTATGAAACATCAAAATCCTCAACAACCCCGGAACTGATTGGTTTTATTTGTCTATTAAATATATCATTACGTTACGCGCGTATCACCTTAATAGGTAGGGACAGTTTGATTTTATTTCCGTCGGACTTGAAGGGTATCAACCACGGTCAACAGTGGAATCACGGTTTCAACCTACATGGCTACATCAATAGAGGCATTTGTGCAATAGCTATGCGATTTACCGCATTTACCACTACAAACATCCACCAAAAATTGTAATATACCATTGGTATAAATACAAATTGAATTATTATTAAATAATACATAAAATACAAATATTAAACACCGGTACACTACAAACCTATTTTTTTGCCTATTTTTTTACCGTACACATAATTACCTTCACACGTACCTATATATATTTTATTTTAAAACGTACTTACATATATCTATATGACTATATCGTAGTATCATATCTATCTACAGGTTTTCGTTATCCAATTAATTCATGATTAGTATCTTATATACATATTATATCAAATGGGAAGCAATATAATGTTGAGTATAAACTTTTTTTTATAATAACAACTCATGAGAAACCTAATATTACAATATTATTAAATGTGTTAAATTTTAATTAAATCATATATCACTGCATACGAAAATTTTCTAAGCAAAGACGGTCTGTCAGCTTTCAGCCTATGCCCTATATAGTATATATATTACTGAGACATTACGTATAAGTATCTTATGATGTATTTATATTTATTATTAGTATAAGACAGTTTAAGTAAAAATTACACTATTCGACTGTCCACCAATCTGCAATGATGATACCTATCTATAAAAAAAATATATTAAAAATGTGTAAAATTACGAATACTTAATATGAAAAAAAAACAGTGTCGGTTTGTAAAAATTATAAATCAGTTATAGAAGACAACGCTCTAATCCTTTATTTAACTTATCATCTGCCTCTGTGATCACTAAGGCAGGGACTGGAACCTTTATGATTTTTACGGTTCTGGCTCCCAGAAAAACTAAAATTTCGGTTCCGGTTTCGTTTCGGTTCCCAGAAAAACTAAAATTTAGGTTTCGGTTTCTTTTCGGTACTTAAAAAATAAAAAAATTGTTACCTGTTTTGGATTTATGGTTAATACTTATGTAAAAAAAATTGTAAAGTAATAGTATCGATTCCGGTGAGGTTTCGGTTTTTAAATTAATTTAAATAATGGTTTCGGTTCCCAATATTCAAAGGGTTCTGGTTCTAAAATTGGTTAGGTCCCAGTCCCTGCACTAGGATTTAATGCATTGGTATATGCCATATGGGCTTAAAGTGGGTCAAATTTCAGGATTAATGTCTCTATATACAGTGTTATAAGCGTTCCTTTTAATCATTTTATATTTATGTATATAATGTCTAATGTATATGTAATGTATAAACAGTGATTGTGTAAGCATATTTATGTGAGTAAAATTCGTTTATCTACAGGCTGCAAAAGGTATATGAGGCAGTTTAGAATGTTTGGAATATCATTTAATATGTTCGTACTAATAATGGATGCCGCCGCTGGGTTCACGCGATACGTTTGAAGCTGTAAAAAATGGACATTGAAACTGTACCTAAATTAGAAATTTTAATAAGCAGAGAGGACTACCGTTGATTCTGTTTCACGCATCTCTGCTGACGGCGATAAACATGTCGTCGACGACCGATTGCAAGTGATTATTCTTCTCTTTCTCTTTGCCGAGTACGGCCCGGAGTGACTCAACCGTGGTCGGGTCCGATCGGCTTCTCTCCACGATACCTAGTAGATCACGTTTGTCCTTTTCAGCCGCCCTCAACCTGTCCTTGACCACCGCCAGCCGCGTCCGGAGCTCGCGCAACTCTTGCGTTGCCATCGCGCTATGCAGCCGCCGACCGCAACACGAGTTTCCGGCCACGGACGGCATGTGTCCATGGTTCGCCGACAAGGCGTCCCGGACGCGCGTCATGATCTCGACCAGGTCGCGTTTCTGCAAGACGGCGGTCGGTACACCCGTGGCCTGTAGGTCACCGTCCAACGCCCGGGCCAGTTCTGCGCTGGACGCCGACTGCGCGATCAACGAGCGCAGTCGTTCCCTGTCCGCGGCCAGCCGACGCGTCTCCGCCCGAAGCCGCCCGTGCACGATCAACAACCTCTCGGCAATCGATTTCAGCACCTCGTCGTCCGGCGACCGACTGTCCCACACCCGGATGTCACTCACCTCGAGCATCGAAAAAGTTGACTCTTTCCGCCCTTCGACCGTTTCCTCATCAATTCTGTCGTGCACCTGCGCTCGAGACCCGAACGCCTCGTCCACGATCCGAACCACCTGCATGATCATCACATTTCGATGTAATGAGATGTAATGCATAATATAGTGTCTCGATTTTTTTTTTATAAATTATTTATGTGCAATAATCCATAAAAAAAATTATTTTACAAAAAGCGTAATTGAGTGGAATGTTTGATGGGGACATTTTTTTTTTTAGTGGCTCTTATAGCACCAATAGAAAATTCTTAGCTAAAACTCTCGACTATGGCGTATATTATTATGTTATAAATAGGTCGGAATGGCAGATTGTTTTAAAAAATCACAAAATATGTAAGCACTTAGGCGTCACCCCAAAAAGGTGACCAAGTAGAAAACTAGCTATGGGTACCGCTCTGCCATAATTTATAGGTGTTGTGTGGATCACTGAAATGGATGTGTTGAACTTGAATTAAACGGTATAAAACCATTGGCGGATACTATATAGGTACCGTAAAACGGTGCGAATATAGGCACGATGGTGTATGATTGGGTGAAAATGCAGACTTCTATACTACACTAGGTAAGGAACTCCTATACGATTTACATTGCTACAAGTGAAGCTCAGCTGTGGCCTGTGAACAGTGTGAACGACCGCCCTTTTGGCGGTTGTCAAAACATTTAATTTATTATACAAAATGTATTAGGAATAATATTTGTTTTAATGGTCAAATAAAATAGTAAACGTAAAATTACTTTTATAAAATATATTTTTTTTTTTGAACCACATGCTTAGAAATAATAAAATACGATACAAAATAAATCATAATATCATCTTATTTGTCATATGAAATATCATACAATTGCCAACCGACCTTGAAGCTTCAATTCACGACCGGAGTTCGCTATCTAATAATATATAGAAATCTGTGTGAAAATGAAAGAAAGTCAGGAAATATATCACTTCAACGGCTCCCCGACCGAATATTCGTGTAATCACTTATCACTTATCAGTATATACAGGGTGTCCCGTGAGGATTTACTCATTGCGATATCTCCTGAAATAATGGAGATATCGTAATTATGTTTTTTTATTAAGACTCGCAGAGGTAAGCACTACAAATATTTTATTTTTTAATTAAATTAAATTTTTTAGTAAAAAAGTTAAAAAAATTATTTTTTTATTTTTTTTATTTTTGAAAAAATTGAAGATAGCCATTCTATAGAGTATATTTTTGTGAACATTTTGAGCTTTTAACATTTTATTTTCATTAATCTCATGATTTTTAATAATTTTTTTAGTTTATTAGTAAAATGTCAATAAACTGGTTTTTGTCCGGGCGGCGAGTCCCCCTCTACGGCTAATGAGTAAATCCTCACGGGACATCCTGTATAAGAGGCCTCCCACGCTAATGGTATGAAATGTAGTATCTGTGATATAATCGTTATATAAATGTGCAAAAAATAGCTCGAAAGAAGAAATATGACTGAAAAATCAAAAAATACCTGAATATGCAAAATATTCTACATAAAACTACAGATTTGACTTTGTCATAACATGAAACTAATTTATTTTAATATACTAAAAGCTGATAATAGTCGCCAGTCGCGGACACGAAATATGAAACCTGTCCTTCGGCCTGTCGTTAAATCCTAAAACAAAAACATTTTGCCTCAAAAGACAAGTACAAGTACAAGAATTCAAAGAAACTGTTTCATATTCGCGACTTTAGTGTATTTTATTAAGCACACGTAATTTATTACGAAATAACTTACCACTAGCTCAATATCTTCAAAATATTTGCTTTTTGGCTGAGAACTTTGATTAGACGTTTTAATACATTTTTTGTACGCTTTGATCAATTCTTTGATATTGTCTAGTAGTGCTTTTTGTTTAGCTTTATAAGTTTGAATTTTGGCTTGAAACAACTTTTCTTTGATGTTATTATCAATTTTTCGTTTGCTGGTTTTTGGTCTTATGGGATACGTGGAAAATGTATAATTGGACTTTTTTTCCCTATTCGATATTCGTAAGCTTTGGGTCTTCTTCATTTTGGTTAAAAGTATTTTAGTGTTATTCGATATGTTCAGTATAAAAATGTTTGTAGATCTTATTTATGTGTGTAGCTATTGACAACAAAAACAATACAATTAAAAACTACAATTTTATAAGGAACAGTATAAAATTAAATATGTAAGAAATGTATCACTCTTCATTGTGACCTCAAACCGAGTACGATTTACGAAACTTCAAACTGCAATATTGTTATTCAACAGATTTCATGCAACAAAATTCATGAAAAAGATTACACGAGAACAGATCTGACATGCAGATCTACCAAACAGATCTTCTTCATAACAAAACATCTTAAATGTATGTGGTCTAAACTGTTTAACTGTGACGCAGTCACTGACACTTTCTATTCATTTATTTCAAAGTTTTATACGTTTCCAATATAATACACTTAAACTAGGTAGGTAATGAAATGTGCCATGTTAAATAGTTAATACATACCTACTCAATAAAAGAAACGGGGAAAGTTGGTGTCGTCGAAAACTTGTGTTTACGGATGATATATCTGAAAATAAATTAATCATCTTGGCTATATTGGCTCTGTCGTTTATATTTTTATCGTTTAATACCAATTCAAAATTTTAGAAAAGCTTTGGTTGACAATGTAAATTTGATAGCTTAAATTGTTTTTTTATTATTTTAATGCAATTGATAAATCATAAATTGGAGGCCATGTTCCTGACTAGGTAGGTACAGGAAAGTGGAAACACAACGTATGTGGTACATACAGGGCCGTCCGGACGATTTGCGGGGCCCGTGGCAGAGTAAATTTGTGGGGCCTAAAATGTCATTATCGTCAGTTGGCAGTTGCATTTATTTAAATATTTAATATTATGAATTATGATATATACCTACCTAGGTAGTAGGTATAAGGGGGCTACGCGCAAATATACTTAAAAATATAGTACCTTGTACTTACAATACTATGAATAAGTAAATTAATTAATAATAAAACAGTAAACACGTAATATATTTATACTTAATATAATAATATTGATAAATTAATAAGTCTATAAATATAGTAGGCACCTAATACAATATGAAAAAAGGTAGACAAGTGGGTACCGCTCTGCTGTACAGTGGGTGTCAAGCATGTCGTTGTAATGGATGTGTTATATTTAAATTACATTGATAAATTATTGTAAACGAAAAAATATTCTGAGCGGAGACATTGTATCAGCCTATCACACTTGTAAAAGTAATCAAATTTAGTAGCTAAAAAAAAATTAACAAAGATCGAAAACGTGGCTTCCTGGGGAACTTTTTTAGTTTGATAGAATTACAAAAACTTGTTGGAAACCTTCTATTAAAATGTCTCAAGTTAGGTATGAAAAAAAAACTTTTATGAATTTTGTCAAAATTGGAACTTTATAAGAATATAACAAATAATTGAGCCTATGTATTTTTAAAACTTCCATTAATAAAAATTATAAGGAACCTATCATTACATTTTCAAGATTTTTTACTAAATGAAAAAGATTTTATCGAGGATAATTTTAAAAAAATTTAGAAAAATGGAAAAATTTCTGAAGGGCTCAAGCCTATAACTAGCTCAAAAATAGTCAAAATATTGAGAAAATGTTTTATGGAGAATTCTAATATAAATATTTGTTGAAAATTTCAAGGTTCTACAGTTATGAATTTTTGATATACACCAAAAAAATAAAATCGATTTTTCAAAAATTCATTTTGTATAAAAGTCACCTATTTTTTTGTTTTTCTCAACGCTTTCTAAAACTACTAGAAATTTTTAATTTTGACTCCCCAAAAATACCAACTATAGTTTCACTTTTCTATCAGTAAAGATGCTGATCTAGGAAATCGGAGCACTTTTACTACCCAAAAAGGGCCATACAAAACAGAAAAAAAAACACATCATTGTAAAATAAATACATTAGTCCCTCCGCTCAGAATCTAAGCATTTTTTTTCTATAGCTAAGTTGTTGTTTTTTTTTGGGGGGGGGGCGGAGCGCTCTGATGATTACCATCATTTTCAACTTTGAAAATTGAATTTTAATCATATTAACTCGTTTTAAATGCAATACATTTATTTGACGACTGATGTCAATTAATATAAGTAGGTATAGCCGTAGGTATAGGTAGTAAAAATTACAGCAATTAAGGATATAAAAATTAAAAAATATATGAATAATAATTTTTTTTCTGATTAACTTGGCTTTTTTATGGTATCTACAAAAACAGGGCCTGTCCAACTGGTGAAGGCGCGGGGCCCAGGGCGAGGGCCCCGCTCGCCCTGCCCTAGGGACGGCCCTGGGTACATACTTATTGTTATTTGAAATGAATAATTTTTAAATATTTTTTTAAAAAAACTGGATAAAAATCGATTAGAATTTTTAAAACAGATTTGAATTTGTAGTCAAGCTACTTGAAATCAACTTACCCAGTTTTTTGATTTTTGATTTCAACTTATCCAACAATTTTTAAATACTATTTTAGATTCTGAGTGGAACGATGGATGTATTGATTTTACAATGATGTGGGTTTATATTTTTATTTTAGATTCTGAGTAAGACGATGAATGTTTTGATTTTACAATGATGTGTGTTTTTTTAAAATTTTTAAATTTTAGATTCTGAGTGAAACGATGAATGTATTGATTTTACAATGATGTGTGTTTTTATATTTATTTTAGATTCTGAGTGAAACGATGAATGTATTGATTTTACAATGATGTGTGTTTTTTTTTTTATTTTTTTAATTTTTTTATTTTTTTTGTATCTGTGTACACGATAAGTAGTCGAAATAATGCTTCGATTTTCGACTTCAGTATCTTGTTCGATTGGAAAGTGAATATCGTTGGTGCATTGGGGAGGTCAAAATTTCCAATAGTTTTCACAAGCGCCGGGAAAAACAACATAAAAATTAAGGAAAAACGGGAATTTTTACGCAAAATCGGTTTTTGACAAAATCGAATTTGGTTTTTGGTGTAACTTTAAAACAAATGAAGCATTTAAAGTTCAAAAATTGACAAAATATGGAAAAATCACGAAAATTAGCAAATTATTTTGAGTTAAGAATTCGCAAAAATTTTCCTTTTTAAATCTAAGATTTGAAAATGTAATACAAGATTACTCATAAGTTTGTCTACCTTTATCAATAAAAAAATCTCTACCGGACAGTCAAATTAAATTTTTATGAGCGTTTGAAATTCAAATTTTTACAACATTGGATGTTTACTCGATTTCTCATGTAGCGATATCCTTATTTTGTTGTTATTCATAAACGAATAACTATAGATACACGAAAATTTAGCATTTCCTATACACCATACAATTTTGAAAATATTTTGACTCTTTTTGAGCTGTTTACGGATTTTTTCATTTTTCAATTTTTTTAGTTTTTTTTCTATGAATATCAATAACGTTTTATCTGTTGGGCCAAAAAGTGTAAAAATTTAATACAAGGCTCCTGGTATATTGTTACAATATCAGTTGAAAAATATTAAAAATACATAGGCACAATTTTTTTTTATAAGCATTTAAATATCGAATTTTGACAGAGTTTTTCAAAATCTCGAAAATTATTAATCATCGTAATTAATAAATTATGAAATGTTCAGTTTTTATAGCTAAGGGTTGCAAATTTAAAACAAAGGTTCTCATAAATAGTTCATACTATAACCAAAAAATCTAAAAAATATATGAACACAGTTATTTTTTACAGACATTTTAAATTCAAATTTGGACGAAATTACATATTAAAATCAATATTAACGATCTTTGTTATTGTTGCAATTTAAAAATATTATTCGGGGATATATGAAACTGAAAAATCAAAATATTATGGCCTATCCATACAATCTACCATAGTATAAGGAATAAGAAGTATGCTCATGATAAGACTGTGCATATTTTAAGGCATTTATTCATAAATTCCATATAATTTAATACCATATGTATATATAATATGGAAAAATCACGAAAATTAGCAAATTATTTTGAGTTAAGAATTCGTAAAAATTTTTCTTTTTAAATCTTAGGTTTTAAAATGTAATGAAAAATTCTTTATAAGATTATCTACCTTCATCAAAAAAAAAAAAAAATGTCCATAAGAAAGTCAAATTAAATTTGTAAGAGCGTTTAAAATTAAAATTTTTACAACATTGGATATTCACTCGATTTCTCATGTAACAATTTTCTTATTTTATTGTAATTAAAAAACTAATGACTGTAGATATTTGAAAGTTTCCCTTAGTGTTTATATTAGCATCATCTATACACCATACAATTTTGAAATATTTTGACTTTTTTGAGCTTTATACGGACATTTTCAGTTTCCAATTTATTTAGTTTTTTATTCTATAAATATCAATAAAGTCTTATCTGTTGGGCCAAAAAGTGTAAAAATTTAATACAAGGCCCCTTATATATTGTTACAATATCAGTTGAAAAATATTAAAAATACATAGGCACAATTTTTTTTATAAGCATTTAAAGATCGAATTTTAACAAAGTTTATCAAATTCAAAATTGAATAATTATTTTGTAGTTAAAAATGTATAAAATGTTCAACTTTTATATCTAAGGATTGAAAATTTAAAACAAGATTCCACGTAAGTAGTTAATTCTGTTACCAAAAAATCTAAAAAATACATAAGCACAGTTTATTTTTATAGTCATTTTAAGTTCAACTTTGGACAAAATTACATAAAAAAAAACCTAGAATAACTATTTTAGTTATTTTGTTGTGATTGTGTAATATTATTCATGAGTACTTGAAACTTCTAAAGTACACTATTATATATCTATGATAGTATCAGGGTTTGTTGTTGATGTATAAAGCGTTATAAGTACCTAATGGATATTGTGATATGATTAATTTGGAATTTATTATAGGTACCTATTTTAGGTAAATTTTTTTTAATACGATAGATATATATAATATGTCTTATACCTAGACGGCTAGACTGACATACCTTCTCCGCTCAGAATCGTTTTTCTTATGCAATGATACTATA